GATTGCGTTGGACCCAGCGCCTCAGGTGTCATCCTGATCCACGAGACAGGAAGAGGATGGGGTCAGATCTCGCCACGGCCGGACCGCCCCTCAAGCAGCCTCTCTTACACCTCTTGACACCCCGTTCAGCTCCGGGTACAGAGGGAAATGTTTTGTGCAAACAACGGGCCCGTTCATGCACCCAAGCATCCGACCGCTGTGATAGCGGGAAAAATAATAAAACACAAACATTTTCAAAAAGAGAGCAAACTTCCTCTTCCATCACTCGTATGTGTTCTGCCCCCATGCGGCCAGTCACCCGAGTTAATTCAACCCCTCGTCACGCGGGCCGAGGCCTGGCAGGCCATCCCCGGGCTGTCGGAATGGGTTATGGGAATAATAAAGCGAGGATATTAACTCCAATTCGCTCGGAGACCCCCGCGTTTCAGCGGCGTGGTCCACACCTCTGTGCAGAGCAAGGACGCACACGTCCTGCGCTCAGAGGTGATGAAATTGCTGGCCAAAGGAGCTGTGGAAAAGGTTCCTCCAGCCCAGAGCGAGTCAGGCCTTTACAGCCGTTACTTCCTCGTCCCCAAAAAAGATCCTGGCCTCCGGCCCATCCTCGATCTCAGACACCTGAACCGCGCCCTCATAAGGAGGTCGTTCAGGATGATTACACTGAAACAGATCCTCGCGCAAATTCGCTCGAGAGACTGGTTCTTTTCCCTGGACCTGAAGGATGCATACTTTCACATCCAGATAGCCCCTCGTCACAGGCCATTCTTGAGATTCGCCTTCGAGGGTGTGGCTTATCAATATACGGTCCTTCCCTTCGGGCTGTCCCTGGCCCCCCGCACCTTTACGAAGTGCATGGATGCGGCTCTTTCCCCTCTGAGACAGATGGGAGTCCGTATTGTCAATTACCTCGACGACTGGCTCGTCCTGGCCCAGTCGGAGGCAGAACTAATATCTCACAGAGCACCTGCGCTCGCTAAAGGCAGCGCATATACCGGGCAAATTGAACCAAGGAGCGGACATGTTATCAAGGAGCAATGTGCCCTCAGGAGACGCTCCATCCGCAAACGGTTCCGAAAATCTGGGAGATCTTCGGCGAGGCCGAGGTAGACCTCTTCGCCTCAGAAGACAACTCTCACTGCCAAATTCCGTGCAGTTTCACTGCATGAATGAAATAGGCTTCAGTTCAGGAGAAAAAAGTATTTTTCCCATATGCGTCTTAAGCAAGACGCAGTACTCGTTCCCGTATCTCAGGGAACCGAGGTTACGTTAGTAACCGAGTACGTTTCTTGAAGTAAGCATAACATGGACATTTTTTTTTAATTCAATGTCAATATTTCAAATTAAAACCTATTTGACATAACTTACAGCCTATAACATTAGGAAGAGTGTTTATTGTAGGTGCTGTATCTCTTTTTTTCTTTCAAGTCCTTTCATTTTTTAAACACATCAGAGATTGTACTTTTTTACTCAGATTATTTATAAATAATCCCAATATATGGGATTGATAATAATATTGTGTTAAAAAAAGTTTTAACAGGCTGTTTGAGGACGTATTTTTAGGTATGGTATAACTGTGTGTTTTGTGTATTGATGCTCTGAGTACAGACACCAATGAGAATAACATGGAGGAAAGAACACCATAATCTTCCGTTTTTATATGAGCAGTGCATACTTAGCCAGATGATATATAATCAGCATTTAAATGTAAAGCAGCAAGCTCATTGGCTGCGTATGCAACATGAACCAATCAGCTTGTGACAAGTCGTTTAATGCTAAGTATATCATCAGTTACATTAAGGACCCATCAGCCTGCGCCATCTAGAGGTTCATTACAGAACTTGGTGTATATATATATATATATATATATATATATACTGTATATACATACATGGTGTGGCAAAATAATTAATTAAATTACTTAAATAGAAACATTTAAACTTAATCTTTCAACTAATATGAGCTCATAAAAACTGCATGAGTAATAAAGTAGCTAAATACTGTTAAAAATACATTTTAAATTCCTTGAAAAATAGCAGAACATGCACATTTCCCTAATTACATTCTAAATGAGATTGGCTGCATGTCTCTTTCTCGTTTCCATTACAAGATACTTTAATGACCTTTCAACCATCTCAACTAGTTACTTCAGCCTCACATGAGGTGCTCGGATTCAAAACATCTTGACTTTCCTCTGTGGGTGGAAGATCATTTGGTATCCCCACTCTGAAATTCTGAAACTCACTCCCTTGAGTCCCCACAGCGACTTCTCCATCCACTCTTCTTTTTTCCCCAATACTATTCCCTTCCTCTGACTCTTAATGTGTGTTTTTTTTCTCTGACGCTTTTGAGTTTCTTATGTCAGTCAGTTGCATTTGTTTCTGAAGCGTGAGCAACCTGAGTGCTATAAATAACAGGCAATAAATTAATAAAACAGTGTTTTAATTTAAAGTGTTAAAACAGCAAAGCAAATAACCTAAGATGTTAAAACAGCAAACTAAATGCAAAAAAAAAAAAAGTTGCCTTATTTTTTAACAGGGGTTAAAAATAATAAATATATAAAAGAAAAAGCAAGAAACGGTTAATCCTTTCATAAAGAGCGCTGATATACAGCCTGCTCGAGGTATTAGAGGAACCAGGCTTAACTTCACAGATTGTGAGGTCACATATCTCACAATTAATACATGCATTCTTATATCACGCTTCTCTCCTCCCAAAAATAATAGAAAAAAAGGCACTTCTTAAATAGTTCGTATTTGCTGGTGGGGTGTTTAGACATGAAGAAGGAAAGCTGTTATTTACCCCAGTTTTCTGGGTTTCCTCTTGCTCCCCTGATAATCCAGACTTCTCTGTAGAGAGGACACAGAACCAGCACACGCAAACACACACACACACGCACAGAGTTAGAAAAGCTTCAGAAAAGACAAGCACGAAGCAACGAACATGCGCGAGAGAATCATTAATTTTTAATTCAAAGTGATTTTGTGTTGAATGTGTGCAGATGCTGATAATATCAGAAGTCACAGCATAATTTTTCTTGATCAAAGCTCGCGCGGCTGAGGCTGATGAGGCAGGCATCTTGCTCGGCTTTGATAAACCACATCAATTATTCACCGTGAAGGGAGACATCCTCACATGAAAGCAACAGATAAAGCGCCAAAGCACATGGTGGAGACAACAGAATGTCGGAGCGGCGTGGGGGTGGGGGCTCGGGGGTCTGGCACAGGTAGCTTTAATTGTATTATCATCTGGAAACAAAGTTAGACAAAGGCTTCCATGAAAGGCTTTGAACTCACGTTGAGATGGTTGTAATAAAGACTGTCTTCCGGGCTGTTCAGGAGCTTGGGCTGCTGTCCTCTTCGCCGAGGGGAACGGTGATGTAGCTTCACCGTTGGACCTGCGGGACACACACACATACACACACACATGCGCGGGACGGATCAGTGACACGTCTCCCATTGTGTTGCCCTGCAGGAATTGTATAAGCAGAGTGGCACAAATAAAGCTGACAGCTGCAACATAAATACATCATGCTAAACAATAGTGCACTGCAAGATTTTTACATTTTGTGAAGAAAATGTGAGTGGTGTTTGCCCCTGCAAAAGTTGCTATGCGGTGGCATGAAGTGTTCTAAGTGGTAATTAGGTGTTTTCTTTCTGGTCCAAGTCAATAGATACAGCTTCTTCAGTATAAGTCTATGGGAGTTTTCATCCATTTTATTGTCCACCAGGCAAAAATCAGTTGCACTTTATTTTACAGTATGTGTACTTACCTAAGAAAGTACTGGTAATATAAGGCAACTACATGGGGTAGGGTTAGGTTCAGGGTTAGTACCTAGTTATTACCTAGTTATTGTAATTACTATAATAAGTACATAGTATGTACACACAGAATATGACTGTAAAATAAAGTGCTACCCAAAAATAAGCAATGGCACACCCCTCCATAACAAGCCACATGATTTGAGGTGTGATTCATGTCCTGTTCATATTAAAGACACCAAAACATAAAATTTTGGCAACACTTTAAGGCAAGTTACACATTACATGCAATTACTTAGTAGTAACAGTTCTTACAAGTAATTACAAGCAACTAATCCTAATCCAAACCCTACCGATAGCCCTATAGTAAGTACATGTACCTAATTAATATTACACAATATTAATTTAATTACACTGTAACAACAAAAACAACACAAAATAAATGTGAACAATGTTTCTGTTCAAAACACTACCTATACATATATACAATTCTGTAGTATTTTTTAATGTCTTTGAAAGATGTCTCTTATGCTCACCAAGTCTGCATTCATTTGATCAAAAATATAGTAAAAACAGAAATATTATGACATGATTTAAATTTAAAATGATTTTCTATTGAGATATGTTAAAATGTAATTTCTTCCTGAAGCAAATCTGAATTTTCAGCATCATTACTCCAGTCTTCAGTGTCACATGATCCTTCAGAAATCATTCTAATATGCTGATTTGCTGCTCAAGAAACATTTCTGATTATCAATGCTGAAAACAGTTGTGCTGCTTTTTTTGTATAAAAATGTGAAACACTTTTCCAATCATTCCTGCTATCACATATAAAAGTAGTTTAAATATGCAGTGTGTACTTTTCACAATCATACATGAGTGCCAACCATCTGATCCACCAAAATTCTGTCAGTTCACAATTATCGTAGATCAAACAGCATGTCAGGAAGAGGAGAAAGAGAGAGAGTCTTGCTTCCTCATGTTCACTTGTAACCTTTCAGATCTACAAACACCACAAAATGAGCAGAAATCCAGGACACCTTTCTACGCCGGCATGTATATTTAATATCTCGGCCTGTTTCATCTCGCCTTCATTTTAGACAAGGCCGAACTTCTCTGCTCATCGTCTTTTCAGATCCTCCGTAAATCTTCTCTAAAACAGAGTTCAGTGATGTAGTCGTTCTGCAGAACGCTCCGGAACAGAATGGCGTGATGGCTTTGAACAGACCGCAGAACATCTCTATCCTTCTCACACATCAAAGCGTTGAGGTTCAGTCTTTCTCTGGCTTGGTGTAATTCTACTTTGCATAGATTTGACTTTCTGCTGCTTCAAAAGCGTTTAAAGAACGGGTGATGTGCTCTTCCGTTGTACATTGATGCACTTGTAATGACTGCAGAGTTCTGGTCCTCCAAATGGGTCAAGAGCACTCAGTGTCACACGCTGCAACCTCTTTCAACTTTACATTCAAATTTTCTTTGCGCAAAAGTTGACTTTTCCCATCTCCTATGCTTAAGGACCTCCAAGCTTCCTGCATAAAAGAACTGCTCTGCAAGTCATTTCACGACTGTAAATCAAAACTGGTTTGGACAGAAACTCTATATTTGCCCAATGAGCAGAGATCAAACAGAGAGCATAACTGTTTAGGACAAAAATAAAAGATGAAAAATTGGAAAAGCAATTTGACAGCAAACCAGTAATTTCATCCAGATACTAAACATACAGAAGAATATTCTCTTCCTTCAATACAATTCTGAGAAAATAAATTAATAGAAATATCTATATTTATACTGGAATCATTTATTAATAATTGAAATACAGGCTAATTAGTTAAAAGTATAAAAGTCAACATGAAATCAAAACTGACCTTATTTGCTTCATTAATACACATGCCAGGTCTTTTTAAATGATGCATCTGCAAATTTGCATGAACGAATAATACATACATATATATATATACTGTATGCCTTCAATGCACTTTAGAATAAAGCATCTGCCAAATGCACAAAAGTTATCGAAGGTTAACTGAACACAAAACTGTAACCATTCATCAAAATCTAATAAATTGCTCCTCCTCTAAAATGATTTTTTGTTGTCAAACCCTCTTATGTTTAAACCTCTTCCCATCAATCGTCCACTTTTCACCATCCAATCAATACCCAAAGGATATAATAAAGTTCTGCTTTACACTTTTTTCTTGTTGAATATCCTCTTATATCACACTTAATTTAGTAGCTTAATTACACCTGAAATGTGAGAAAGTGCCACTGAACTTGAAGTCAAGTGGGTGCAGTTAAGAGAGAGAGAGAGAGAGAGAGAGAGAGAGAGAGAGAGAGCAATACCTTTAAGTTACTCCCCTAACACAGAGTTTAAGTAGTCTGATCTTGAGCCATTAGTGATATGTAAGTCTCACTACCACACACACACACACACACACACACACATATGTGGGTTAGTGGTTGATCCTCCCCTTTTGTCTGGGAAATCAGCAGCATTTGATCCCGAGCTCTCCCTCAGGGCTGCCGCTCTTGCTCTGACAGACCAGCAGCACACAGGCAGCCAAAAGCCATCTAAATGCTCTTCATCCTGCCTAGGGCCTGAGTACCACACTGCTGGAGCAGAGAATCCCACCCTAGACAAAACCAGCAGCTTAGCCTTCGACAGAGGGGACCACACTCCATAAAATCAAAATAAAATGTAAGCTTTTTTTCTTTGAAAGCTTTTTTTACTTCGAAAACACAGAAATGTTTATCGAACTGGCCAGGTAAATAAACATATAGTATGAATTTATTAGAACTTTTTTTATTAATCAAGCTGTTACATTATTCATTCAGTATTTATTGCCCGTGTTTACGTAAATAAATTACATGCATTTTGCTGTAAGAGAGAGACTCAGAATGTAAGGAAGAGAGAGTTTCAGTCTCTCACACAGTTTGCATCCAGAAGTGCATTTGACTGCACCTAGAAATGCCAGTTTAGCAACCTCAGGATATCGATGCAGTATTGGGAGACAAAGAATGATATAATTATATAATGATAAGACTGTATCAACAAAGTCATATGAGGCAATATATTAGCTGGTGATTCATTGTCCATCACAGAGGTGTTACATCAGGAGTTTTATTATGTTTATTATTTGTGGTTGTTCTTTTTGCTACTGTGGTGTTTCTTTTTTCTCTCTCTTTCTCTCTTTGTTTTTGTGTGACTACTGATAGTTTGATCAGGTTCACCTGTTGCGAATTTGCTGCCCAGCAACCTCAGCTTTACAGCAAGAAGACCAGCATAAAAGCCAGCTCCTGAAGTTTATGTTTTCACTTTTTTTTTTATTTGAGGATCACTGCCCTAGCCTAAAAGGGCTAGTATGTAACAAAGGACAAGAAAATCACAGCACAAGCAAGCAAACTTAAGGCTTTAATGGGAGAAAGGTTTCATAATGAAAACTCCAACAAAATAGCTTTTACACACATAAGATAACAATATATATGAATGATATTAATTAAAAATGTTTATTTTTGAACTCTGTTCTTTGTGATTTCTAAAGAGAAGAACATTGAAACATAATCTTTGCAGGAGCAGCAGCACAGAATTCACAAATGAAACCAGCTAACCACCGGTGTACCTCAAGTTTCGGTACTGAGACCTCTTTTCTTCTCAATAAACATACCATTATTGTGACTAGTCAGGTGCAAAAGCTCGCTGGAATGATTTTTCTATACTACAAATAAATCACTCCATACACACCTGAGTAATAATACTCCTGTAGCACAAACAGTAGAGCATGGCAGTAGCAACACCGAAGTTATGGGTTTGAGTCCCAGGAAATGCATGAACAGATAACGCATATCTTGAATGCAATGTAAGTCTCTTCGGATAAAAGTATCTGCCAAATCCATTAATGTAAATGTATGAGGGCCATACATATAATTAGAAAATACTGATGATAGATTTTTTTTTCCCCTTTTCCAAAGTATTGAATATTTAATGTCACTGGGTGACAAGAAACAATGACAGGGTCACACAGAAATCCATTAATGGCATAACAAACCATTGTATGTTTTTCATTGTGTGTGTTTGTGTTGGGAGGGGCAGTAATAATCTCTGAAGCAATCTATGAAGGTTTGCACAAAATATAATCCTTTATTCAGGACTTATCGATTTGTCTTATAGACTGTTGGGTGGAAGAAAAGAAGGAAAAAAGCAATAAAATAAACCACTAAGGGGATGAGTTTTATGTTGTACCATTTGCCTTGCGTATCGTAAATGTTTGCATTTGATAGATAAAAAGGCTGAGAATTCTTCTCAGAGAGAGGTTTTAATTTGACGAGACTCATGCCGGCTCTTAAAAAGCACCTCTAAATCCCTTGAATATCAGAACACGCTTCAGAAACTACATAAAAGAGATGCTAAAAGGGTTTTTAGCCGTATAAACGCGGGAGGCGTATTGATTCCCGTCGCTCACGTGCATGATCACCTGACACATCTCGGGCTGGGCCGAGCCGTTGGGGTTTGTTTGTACAGATGGAGGAGAGGGGAGATTGTAAGGCAAAATCATCAGCAGTGCTCTTTGATGTCTAAATGAAGCATGTGCAGACCAGACCATACAGAGATGCTGAGAAACAACACACACACTCAAATA